TGCCCAGAACATGTGCATGTCTGATAAGGGCCCAGTGAGGGCTCATTCCTCGCAAATGAGAAAACGGGAGTCCAAATGTGCCCTTTTAACCCCTTTAGTCACTGTTTATACCCCCCAACCCCCCCCCTAGATGACCCATCGCCGAAACCAGAGTTAAGACCGGATTCTGACTGCTTAGGCCAAGCGCAGTCCTGGCCTGAAGTCCTTTTTTTGTTTTTTGGGATCCTTGCCTCTTTTTTGACCCATCTGGTTTTACCGGGCGGCCCCCCTTCTGCCCAACTGGCCCGGTCGTGCCAGGCAGGGCGGCCGCCCAACATAGTAAAACAATAAAATAGTAAAAAAAATACAAAAATATTGTTTTTATCTAGCTTTCCCGGGGCGCCCGGGCGCCCCGGGCGCCTCACCCGGGTAGGTCCCTCACCCGGGGTACCCTGCGCATGAAAAAAATCCGCTGAGTTTTTTTTTTTTTTTTTTCATCTGCAGGGCCTTGCTGCGCTTTCCGAGTACAGCCCAAATCTAGCCTCATTTCCTTTTTTCGGCCATGTTGGTTTCTGTGTGTTGCGGGGGTTGGAAGAAGAAGGGAAGATGTGGAGGGAGGAGATGGCGGAGGAAGGAGAGAGGGAGATTATGTGGAGGGAGGAAAGACTGATGGAGGAGCAATAAGAAGATGACGAAGAAAAAGTAGAAGAAGAGACGAAAAGAAGAAAAAGAACTGTTGAGATTAAGAAGAGGAGGAAGAAGAAGATGATGAAGAAGGGAAGAAGAAGGGCAGAAGGAGGAGGGAGAGAGCCTTTGGAGGGAGGAGGAGGGGGGAGGGAGCCTATGGAGGCAGAACGGCTATGGCGAACAGAGCCGAACCGTTGAAAAAAAAAAAAATGCTGATTCATTGATGAAGTTCATCGAGCAAACAGGAAGGAAGAAGAGGAGAAGAGACGACAAGAAGAAGGACAAGAAGAGAAAAAGAGAAAGAAGAACCGAAGAGGAGGAAGATGAAGAACAAGAAGATGATGATGATCAAGAAAAAGAAGCAGACTAATGAGTGGAAGAGAAAGAAGACACGATGAAGAATAATAATGTGAAGAAGAAGAAACGACAAAGAAGATGAAGAAGAAGAAGAAGAATGAGAGGAAGAAAAAGAAGAAACGATGAAGAAGAAGAAACGACAAAGAAGAAAAAGAAGAAGAAGACGAAGAACCGAAGGCGGAAAAGAACACGAGGAAATGGAGGAGAGAAGAAGAAGAAGAAGAAGAAGAAGAAGAAGAAGAAGAAGAAGAAGAAGAAGAAGCTGGAGAGTGGCAGGGCAACGACGGCGCAGACGGTCGATGGCACGGTTGGAGGGCGACGACGATGGCGCGGCTGGAGGGCGACGACGATGGTGCAGCTGGAGTTCGACGATGATGGCGCGGCTCGAGGGCAGCAGGACGACAACGACCATGGCATGGCAGGGCGACGACGGTGCAGACGTCTCCCCCATGGCAACTGGCGCAGTCAAAGTCCAGACGGCGGAGGGCGGAGGGTGCAGGGACGCGCACGAAGTCCTGGGATTCAAACTCGAAATCTCGGGACTCCGGCGCCGTCGATCGATGAAGATCGATGGCCCAGAGGCAAAAAAAAAAAAAAAAGCAATGAAACAGGGCCTACCGGACCCCAAAAAATGTTGCGGCCGTCGCCTTCTTTTTTTTTTCTCTCTGGGCCGTAGTCTCGCGGCGCCAATTTTTTTTTTGGACATTTCTAGGGGTTGGCGCTGAGTGTGCCTGACCGGGGGGTCGCATGGCCGGGCGCCCAAAGCGCCCTTCCGGGCAACTTGGGGGGCCCCGGGCGCCCGGGCTGGAAAGCTAGGTTTTTATTTTTATTTTTTAATCTTTTTTTGGCTGGGCCGGGCAAGTTGTCCCAGACCGCTCTGGTAGCCTAGCTATTTATACTAATTTAGTAATTTGATGGGCACTTGCAGGCACAACTGCCACTTTTCTTTCTTTTTGTGCCTCCAGTCTGTTTGACACGACTACAGCCTTTTTTTTTCTTTTCTTTGAGAACACAAGGCTCCGGTCTATTCATGGGGAGCAGCGCATGCTGGGAACCGGTCCCAGCATCCCATACCATAGTCATACAGTACCGGGGCCATTAACTGGCTTCGGCTAATGCAAGAACACACAAATCAAAGTGAAGAACAATAACCACTGGACCTGGGATGTATGGGCCTCTTCAGCCCCAGCCTTACTGACCTTTATGATGGCCTTCCAGTTGTCGCTATTGGCGTGATGAGGCTTAGGCAAAACGGCTGCAGAATGCTTTTCCCAGAGAGTTTCTGGTTTCTGCAAGAGAAAAAAAAAAAACAAACAATGGCAAGATAGAGCATACGGTGCCATACACCCATTCAGTCCAGACAACACGATCAGAAAAGGGGAATGTATGAGGTCTGTGAAATTGAACTCTCTTTTTTTTTTTTTTTTTTTTTTAAAATCGAAACAGGTCTTTATAGCCCCGACTCCTTATACCCATTCTGGGGAGCATCACAGTCCAGTTCCTATTCCCCCGGTGAAATTGAACTCTGTAAGGGCATTATGTACGGGATGCTGAACCCTTGCATTTTCAAAAAAAAAAAAAAGCAAAAAAAAGGATACGGTATTATGTATCAAAGAAACTGACTTTATCAGGACAGGATCAGTCTGTGCAAAAAAAAAAAAAAAAAGGAAAAAACTAGGAAGATTCTCCCGCCCGGCCCGGGCGCCCGGGGTACCTGGGCATGCAAATTTTATTATGATTTTTTTGGTTTTCGGCGCTCTCCCAGGGGCATTATACGATGTGTGATGCTTTTTTGTGCTTTTAATCAAGAAGGAAAAATATTTTCCGAATTAAAAAAATACAGAAAAGAAAGTGCTACCAGTAGACAAGGACGGGGGATAGTACAGGCTTTGCACCCGTGCATCATGGGCTTGTTTGAAGGCATGTACTGTGCCCAAAATCACGGCTGGGAACAGTTTGCCAATGGTGAACCTTGCTTGCGAAGGAGACCTGAAAAGGCAAGGCCGAGTGGGAGGGCCTTACTATGTTCCCTTGCTGTCAGCATCCCTGAAATAAAACAGGAAGAGGACCTAAGTGTCTCCTTTTATTGCTTTTCATGATTTTTTAAAACGAAAAAACACTGTAACAAAGTCACAGAAACACCCCCCCCCCCGTTTTTCCAAATCCTTGAAAAGGCAACTTCCCGCCACTGCAAACCCACGAACGAAAATGACAACTTATTCCTTGCGGATTGGAGGGAAAGGCGACCTCAAAAGTGATCCCGCTCGTCCAGATCCCACACCATGGACGGGCAAGAAGGGTCGCTGGCGGCCACACATGATCGTAAGCGCGGCCTCTGCATGGTAATACTTGGCTAGTGGGTCCTAGCCCCAGAGGACCCTTTTTTTTTTTTTTTTTTTTTTTTTTTTTAAACAAACGCCCCCGTCAGTGTTAGTGCTGCTGATAAGAGCAGACACCACTAACACCTGGGGAGAGGCTCCGTCTATTGGTGGGGAGCATCACCTGCTGGAAAACGGGTCCAGCGTCCCTTATACAGAAAATGAGAATGTCTGAGAACTGCCAACATTGATTGCCCTGTCTCCAGGGAATTTATTGAGCAGGTATGTGTAGATCATAGTGATGTAGCCCTTGCTTCCCGTATCTCTTCACCCCCAAGAGGGCGCCAGATGTACCACTTCAGGAAGCAATAATCGTTTGTTTAGTAAACTCCCTGGGGGGCTCCAGGGGAGAGTTCCTTGTATGAAGAAGGGGGAAGCAAGTACAGTAAGTTGCTGGTGGTTTATGTCAATTTAGGACAGGATCTCTGCCAGGGAAAGGGCGTGGGGCGGGAAGGGGTCAGGAAAATCATCAGGGGGCGGAGCGGGAAGGAGGGTTCTATGTTCATCCAGTCCTTAAAAATTAGGCGATAGTCTCTCATTTCCTCCAGATCCCTCTGTCCCTCCCCCCCATCTCCTCTCCATTCTACTTTTGCAATCCATCCTTCTCTCTCCCCTCCCACCCAGTCTGTGCAGAATGATGTAATCCTTTTCCTGACGTCTCCTACTTGTTTAAAAAGGTCTAGTTGTGTTTGGTGACCTGCCATTTTTGTGAGAGTTTGAAGTGCATCTGCTGCTGAATGTGTTCGGTGATTTCTGGCACCTCTACCCTCACTTTATCACTGGCCAGCGTACATCTCTGGCACCAAAGTGCCCACAGCACCGCCCTCCTTCCAAGTTTATACATATTCTCTACGAAGGTCGTGGCAGCCTCTGCATGTGGCCAGTGGCCGGCCAGTATGGCTTGCCAAGACCAAGGCCAGGGGGATGTGGGTTCCATCTTTCTCCATATGCGGTCCCACCACCTCCATATGAATTGGGCGATCGGGCATTGTAGGAAGATGTGTCCTATGGTTTCCGCCCTTTTGTGGAAGGGGAAGAGGCTCTGACACCGTTGGCACCATGGGAGCAGTAGGCCCTTTTGCTCTAAGTTAGTGCGATCTGTCAACCAATCATTGGTTGGCAAACATCTGTGGGCGATTTGCCACTGTAGAGAAGTGATTTTCATGGGTCTTGCCTTCTGCTCCTGGAACCATTTGACTGAGGTCAGGAGGGAGCGATCCACATTCAAGTGTCTGGCCCATCTATCGTTAATGACGTCTCTCAGCCGTCTCTTTGGTCTAAGCATTTTATAGGCTGATTTGACTTACAATTGGTGTAGGCTGATGTGTCTTGCTTTGGGACCTACCCTTTGGTGGGGTTCCCAAGACCATTCATCCGGATCCAGAGGCAGGTCCTGGATTGGTTTGAAGGGCTGGAACACCACCCTCTGCCCTTTCTCTTCTAAGACTCTCACTCTATACACAGATGCTTTATCTTTCCATACAAGAGGGGCTTTGCTCCCTTGGAGGATGTTGGTTCCAATGATTGTGTAGTGTTCGATTAAGACCGCCTGGGGTGAGACCATGTGTATTTGCCCTATCCTCTGGGGATGCTCCTTGCTGGCCACCCAGTCACCTTCCTTTAAGGCGGGGCCTTGTTTAAGGGTTTGATACCATGTCAGCGGGATAGCTTCAACTAGGTCACCCAAATGCTTCTTCACGTGATGGCCGTACCGTAGGATTTCTTGCATTTGGTCTTCTGTTTTCCACTCCTTTCTGTCGTCATCCCAAAGGTCCCCTACCCTGAGCACCCCTCTTTTTACCCAGCTCTTCCAGGGCAAGGCATAGCTTGACATGATACAGCCACTTGAGTCGGTTACTCGTCGGTTCCCGAACAATGGTTGTCGGTGGACTTCTTCCCAGCGATCGGGGTATGGTCTGTCTGGAAGCGGGAGTCTATGCCAGGTTTCCAATAGGGAGGGCCAAAAACTGTCCAAAATACGGTTATCTCCATCCAGCCCATCCCTTGCTCGGGGGAACTTTCGTGGAATTGTCCAGAAACAATCCTCCAGCCATGTCAAGGGGTGAGTGGAATGGGGGGTTTCTGGGGCCAATCGGGCCAGATGTTCCAACGCCAGTACGCACCATGGACTCTGGGGGGTGAAGATAAGCTTTTTAATCCATTTAAGACATAGTGCTTGCACTTGCGTGGCCGGGTCGATTATTCCTAGGCCACCCCCTGCCTTGGGTTGTATGATGGAGTCCCACGCCACGCGGTTGATCACGTTGTCGAGCTCGCCATCCCCCCTCCATAAGAAAGCGGTCGCCTTTCTCTTCAGGTTTTTTAAGGCTGCTTTGCTTAGTGGCCACAATAGCGACTTGTACCATAGGGAAGCGAAGATCACGTTGTTGATTACTAATGCGCGGCCGAAAATAGATCCGGGGTACAAATCCATTCATCGTTGGTCGGCGGCCGTCCCTCGGCGGTCATGGCAACACCAAGGATTCTTATTGGTGATTCCAGTGACATCCATTTCATTCTGGGTGACTCGGGTGGGCGCCCCCCTTGGGAGTGCATCCACCACCCTTGAGTTTTGCTTCCCCAGTTGATTGTCATGTCGGAGATCTTGACAAACTTTTCCATCATTCGCTGGATTTCCTCCATGTTGCTATGTGTGGCTTCCGCTAGGATGGTGAGATCATCCGCAAAGAGGGAGCATACTGGGATAGCCTCCTCTGGAATGTGTGTGATTCGAATTTTGGTAATGTTTTTATTTGCCCGGAGGTTAGCGGCGAGTGCTTCCATAATGACCAGAAAGAGGAAGGGGGCGATCGGGTCCTCTTGGCGGACAGAGCGTTCCAGACGCAGGGGTGGTGTTATGCATCCATTAACCTGGATGCAGGTGGTTGCATTTTGATGCAAGATCTGTATCCAGCGTCTGAAATCTGGTCCAAAATTCATTTTCTCCAGGCATTTGTCCAAGAACAGCCAGTCTACGTGGTCGTAAGCTTTTTCAAAATCGATGAAGACCAATGCCGCATTCTGGCGAGAGTGTTTTGTGAGCCAGAGTACTTCATGGATTAAAAGGATATTCTCTTGAATGTTCCTGTTTTCCATGAAGCCGGTTTGCGAAGGATGAATGATATCTTCCATCACCGGGATCATTCTGTTAGCTAAGGCTTTTGACAACATCTTGTAGACCACTGTGAGAAGGGTAATGGGGCGGTAGTTCCTGATATCCATTTTATCCCCCTTTTTATATAGAAGGGTTAATACCCCCTGCCCCACCCTTTCGCCCATCTCGCCTGAAGCCCATACCTCTTTATAGAAGTCCATGATATCCTGACTCAGGAATTCCCATGTAGTTTCCCAAAATTCAGGCTCATGTCTTTTTTTGCGAGTTTGCTGTCAAGGGGCGGGGATTGGGGTATAAATTGGTTTTAAAGGGGCTAAAGGGGTTCAAACTTTAAAGGGGGGTACCTTAGTGTGATTCTGTTATTTTCTTTTTTATTGCCAATTCTGTGAGGATTTTTTTTTTTTTTTTTTTTTTTCAAACTACCCTATATTCTTCTCTCAAATCTTTCATATCTTTCAAATTCTTTCAGTTCACCTTCACTACCTACCTACCACTACTCCTAAGGCTTAGACAGGGAACCCCTGCAAACATAGCTTTGTTGTCTCCCTCCAGCCATCAGAGGGGATGCATGTTGCCCCCCACCCCAACCATGGTGGTCAAGGATGGAGTGGGGCCGCCGGTGGGGGTCCGGCTAACGCAAAGACCGAGCATTTTGCCAGTAGCTGCGCCTCCCTTTTCATCGTCCCCCACTAATGTGACCCTCAGCCAAAAGTCGTTTGTAGTGCAATTCTACACAACATTTTTTTTTCCCGGATTTTTTTTCTTTTGATTTTTTTTTTTTTTTTTTTTTGCGCCG